TGAAGACCTCAGCATCTGCTTCAGGTATTTATTCTCTGCTGCTGCCTTTGCTCCTCTGTAGAAAAAGCTGAACTTCTGCAAAGCACCTTCCATATTGTCCTCAGAGAAAGCAGCTTGGCTTATCACACTTTGACCCACTGCAGTGCTGGGGCAATGTGGCCCAGTGCATGCTGCCTCTGTCCCCAACAGCATTAGTGCTCCTGAGAGCTTACAGACAGGAGAATCTAGCTCACAGGTTTCCATGGCATGACTCGTGAGTAACATACGGCATGTGGCAGTCTGCAGATGTTTCATGCAGCCCTGGGAAGCTAGAGCTGAGGTGGGCAGGGAGAGCACAGCAGTGTTGCCTGCAGCATATGGCTCCTTTTGTTGCTTCTCCAGGTTGCAGAAAATTTGGATGGCCACTAGCTACTTGCTGAGTCTGATACTATTTCTGGAGATAGGTCATGGCTCCCATGATCTGTGGTCCTGCAGCACAACTAGAGAGCCTTGCAAAAAGTCCTCTTGGGTCTCCAGCTTATCTCCCCTACCTCACTGGGGACACCAGCACAGCTTTTTGGACTTTGTACTGTGCCATTGTGCGGTGTCTGATTCTTCCTAGATCAGATGCCTGTCCTGTGTGATGTTCTCCGAAATCATTGTACGTTCCATTGCATGCCTCCCCTTGGCCGTGAGGTAAAGCTGGCCCTGAGGTCTGTAAAAAAGACGCTGTGTGGGCTGTGTCATGCTGCCTCATGTGGTGTTGGGGGCCCGGTAGGGATGGGCTGACCCCTGGCTTCCCAGGCAGTTTGATCTGCATGTGTTTCCTAATGTATTACTAGGGCAGCCTTCCATGATACAGCATTGCTGTGAGGCTGGTTGGTCTCCAACAGTGCACTGGGTTCTCCAGCTGATGCCAGCCTGTCTGGCCCTGCTTGCTATGGAGCAGCCCACAGGGCCTGTTTAATACACAAAGTGCAGGACAGATGCTTGTGCAAGCATGCCTGCCTGCCTTCAGGAGCTGCTTGTAACATCCCTTCTCCAGCCTGCTCAGTCATTCTCAGCCTCATCCTGGCTTTGCGTCTCTGAGAGGAGCTCTTTGGAGAGTTGGATCCACTGAAATTGATGAGCAAATATAGCCCAGAAAAAGGCGTGAGCTCTGGAGGCAGCTGTTTGCCAGCACTCTCCTCATGTCCTGACGGTGGGTGCCACAGTTCTGGGGGAGGTCACAGGGTTGCTCAGTTGTTGGAGAGCAGTTTGAGAGGTGCCTGGGGAAGAAGTGTGAAACCAGCCAGAGGCTGGTCAATATACGAGAAGGGAAAAGGGATGTTCCTTGTGGAGTGTGGGACCTGTGTTTGGAGGTGCAGCAAAGTAACAAAAGCAGGTGAGGTGAGGGGGAGGCTCTCAGCTGGAGTCATTGTGGTCATGCATGAGAAGGAGGCAGCTCTCCCATTCCCTGCTATGGCTTGCAGAGGAGATGGTGTGTGTTTCTGTCCCCTGGCTCTGTGCAACTCTGCCTACTCTGTGGGGAGCTGGGGGAGTGATGGCTTTGGGTGCTGCTGGGGGAAGCAGAGGGAGAGGAGGGGTCAGAGGGCTCCTGAATGGTGCAGGCACACTTTGGGGGAGCCCAAGGGACTGTAACTGGTGTACAAGCATTTTGGCACTGACTGACATGCTTTGCTTGGCTTCTGCAGCCCATCTCCAGAAGAGGGAATGGGTGATGAATTTGACCTGATGGATCACTCAGATCTCTACATCCTCGACTTCAGTACGTGAGCACTCCTGGCCCAGCTTGCGTCTCTCACCACAAGGTGCCCTGTGAGCAGGCCCTGCTGTGAAGCACCATATTGTTTCCTACATGGCTCCAGGTGCCTGCCTCTTGGAGGCAGGCAGCTCTCTCTGGCTGGTGTACATGGCTTAAGGCAGATCAGCCAGAGATACAGCTGTGCTTGCAGGCCTGAGCTCTGGGCTCATGGCTCTTCATGCACTCCTTCACACAAATTTCTTGTGGGAGCACAGCAAACTGCTCCAGACTGTCCCTGGTGTGCACCCTGCCTTGTCCCTCGGGGGTGGCTGGGGTGCTCTGCCTTGTTTCCTATGGCACTGATTGCACAATGCCTGGACCCCCCCATAGTGTCCAGATGAGGACTGCTGTGGCTAACTGCCCTCTTTCCACAGGCCCCAGTCTAAAGACACTGTGTAAGCTAGCAGTGATTCAGTACAGCCTGGACCAGTCCTGCCTTCCCCATGACATCAGGTACTGTGTGCCTTGCTGGGAGGGTCACCCCATGGGTGCTCCTTGTCCATGGGGTGCTCCAGCTTTGGCTCAGGGCTGCCTGGGGCCCTCCTCAGCACTGTGCAGCTTCAGGACAGGGTGGGTTGGAGCCCGCAGCTGAGGCTTTTGTGCAGTGGAGCTGGTCCAGCCCTGGGCACTGTGTTCATGCTTCCTCTCAGTGTATCCCATTGGTGTGTTACAGATGGGAGCTCTCGGCCATGACAACGAACAGCACCATCAGCCGTCCCATCGTCTCCTCCCAGGGCTGACGCCGGCTCATCCCTCTGCCACCTTGCCCTCACCCCTCCACACACTGACCTCTTGCTCCACTGCCTGCATGAGTTTTTAGCCCTTTCAAGCAAGGAACATGTGAGCTCAGTTTGTCTTGCCCCAGCCAGGCCTTCCTCTGCCCTTGTTACACTTTGGGCAGCACAAGTGTGCAGGCAGAGAAGGCCTCCAGGGAAGAAATCAGCTCGCCCCAGCAGCACAACTGTGAACACCCCTCCTTACTGATGGCTTGTGTCTCCTGCCTTCCTTCCCCTTGCCTGTGGAGCTGCAGCTGTGCTGGCCTGATCCTGGGCCACTTTCCAAGGGCCTGAATCAACTCCTACCACCAGCCATGGCCCTGGGGTTGGCCTCAGGCTATGAATTGTTCCTGCGCTGCCCTGAGAGAGCAGGGACCTCCACACCTGCACCTGCCAGATCCAACCAGCTTCCTGGCCCATGGATGGCTGGCCCCCAGCCCTGGGCTGAGCCTGTCATGGGGGCCTGGGCCCAGCTGGACCCTCTGCCCGGCTCCCATTGTAAAACAGCAACTGGGGGGATTTTTATAAATGCTGAGGCAGATGTGGTTTCTGCTGCTCTGTGTGTCTTAGCAGGCAAACTAAGGGGAGAGCTGTGGGAGGGGAGAGACTGAACCAGGTGCTTTCCCCTGCAGCTGCAAGCTACCAGTGGCTTGTTGCAGCTGTGGGCTCTGACTGGTATAAGCCACAGCCTTGGCTGGAGTGGGAAAAGGGGAGCTGGGCCTGCCATGGCATCACTGCTCTGGTGTGCCTACCTCCTGCCTGGGGCTGTGCTGCCCTGCGAGAAGGCAGGGAGGAAGATGGTGCATGTCTCCTGGGCTGTCCTGCCTCAGGAAGGTGGGTGCAGAGGCAAGACTGTGGTTCGGGTGTCCCACAGCTTCCTGCCCCGGGGAGGGAGGTGGAGGGATGTCTGGGGCTGCCTTGCTGGGCAGCACAGAGGGCTGTGCCTGAGCCCCTTCCCATAGAGGTGGGGTCTCTGATGTGAAGAGAAGTTCCAGTAGCAACTGTAGCAGAGCTAATGCAGGGAAAGTTAGGGAAGTGCTCAGGGTGTTCCCTGGGATTGCCAGAGTCACGGAGCAGCTGAGAGATGGTGGCGGCTGTGTTCCAGGAACGGGTGGCAGTGGGCCCAGGCCATCTCCCCTGCCTTGAGGGCTGGCATGTAGCCAGACTCAAGTGCTGCTCATCCAGCAGCATGGGGTTGCAGAGGTGCCTGGGATCTTCAGCTGGTGAGAGTTGGCCAATGTGAGTGCAACGGAGTGGCATGAGAGCGGTGAAAGTCCCATGGCAAGAGAACAGAAGGCACCACAGTTGTGACAAGAGCTTGTTCTTCACGTACTGGTAGCAACTCATTGTGGTGTGTGATGAGCATTAACGGCAGGGCTGGGGCCTGAAAGCAGCCAGTGTGGGCTGACAGCACATCTGGCTTAAGAAGAGCTCCCCCAGCCTGGGCTCCTCCTTTGTGGTCCTTGGCACCTGCAGGTTACCTGTAAGGGCTGCGTGGGCATCTCCCATGTGTTGTCCAGCACCTCCAGCTCCCCTGCTCAACTAGCTGCCTCAACCACGGGCACTCGCTCAAGCCGTGCCATGAAATTGTGGGAGTTTTTTGCCATGGTATCACCTTCCCCAGCACTGAAGCACCAAGCTTACTCTCCTTGTAGGGTGCCAGGCACCAGGCAACACCCACAGACCACCCAGACTCACTGCACTAGGTAGCATTGTACTGAGCACAGCAGCTCCCCAAGCTGCTCCTGGCGTTGTCCATGTCCCAACCTGTCACTGGGGCTTCTCTGGGAGAATCACAAGCTCTAGGCCATTGAGTAGAAACAGGCCCCAGAAAGGCTCAGCAGCCCATGCCAGCTGCCTCTAGGAAAGCAAATCTTTGGCGGGGAGAAGATTTTTTCTCTGGGGAAAAAAAGAAGGGGCGCAGCAGGGAGAGGCTCACAGGCACCCCCCTCCCCTTCAAGGGTTCCCTTGGGTCCAGGGGTGCTGTGGCCCTGACCTCCCTCTGCCAGGACCCTGCTGCAGACCTGGGGATGGGACGCTGCTCACCACCTTGGTCTGGATGTCTCCAGTGCATTTTCTTGACGTATCAGATCCCTCTCCCAGCACCCAGCTCACCCATCGGCAATACCGGAGAGCAGCCACTGGGCAGGCGGACTAGTCACAGGCCTTCAGCCCATCATGGACCTTCTGCTGGGCTGGCAACAACCGCGGGCCAGGAGCTGGGCGGATGTGTGCCCCACGGGGGGATCCCTGCTACCTTCACCATCACCCCCTCCTGAGCAGCCAGGTTTGCTTTAAAGACCCTGGCTTCCTTTTATTGCTTCCCCTCTCAGATTGCAGCCGGCTGCAAGGGCTATTTTTAGCAGCCTGCTTTCTAAAAATAGCCCTGAGCTGTTTGGAGTTGCGTCATGAGAGGTAACTCTCTCCATGAGTGCCTTGGCCCCTGCGCCCCAGGAGGGTACAAAAGGAAGCCGGGAGCAGCAGGGTCAGCAGGTTCAGACACAGCCAGAGGCGAAGGAGGCAGCCAGTGCCGGCACCATGACCATCTTCTGCAGCCACTGCCACAGGCCACTGCAGGCAGAGATGAGCTGCCTGCCCAGGAGGGGCAAGCAAGCGGCCAGTGCCTCGAAGCCGTTCAGGTGAGCTTCCTACTGCCTCCTGCCTACAGGGCTTTGACGGTTTCCTAGCAGGGGAGAGCCCTGGGCCAGCTTGCGTAGTGCCCGATGGCCCTTGCAAGGGGCTTACACCAGCTTGGGACAGCAGGGCTGCCAGCTGGTGCATGGGGAGGAGGTGCGAGGGCTTGGAGGGGCAGGGGGATTTCGGGTGGTTGAAGAGTAAAGGCAGATGCAACGGACTGGGGCTCACATTCTGCACTGGATGCAGTTTCCATCCTTGTGGGGTTTGGTGGGGAGATTGTGTCACTCGGGCTCCCCCCAAAGCACAGGTCATTGTCCAACCTGGCGAGAGGGGCTGCAGCCACACCAGCAGTGTGTCCCCCTGGGTAGCCGTGAGCACCTCTGCCTGTGTCCACTGCACTGACACAGCCACCAAAGGTTTGCTCTCCTAGAGGCAGCTGGCATGGGCACTGAGCCTCACTAAGGGACCGTCTCCACTCCATGTCCCAAGCTTGTAACACTTCTCATAGTGGCCGGCAGGAAATGCTGTCCCTCTCCCTCCCTGGACATTTCTCCCCAGATAGCTGGCTTTGCAGGTCAACCAAGAGTGCCTCCAAGGCTCGCCGGGACCAGATCAATGTGGAGCTGCAGGCGCTGCGCTCCCTGCTGCCCATCTCTGCGCAGGAGAAGGAGCGGCTCTCCTACCTCCACACCATGGCCCTTGTGTGCCTCCGGCTGCGGGGGGCTCAGCTGTTCCCTCCAGGTACCCATGGCACTGCTGTACCCTACACTAGCTCAGCTCCACATGGGGCACTGCTCCTGGCCCAAGACAGTCCTTCCCCCTTGCTCCTCCTGCAGAGTCGGATCCTCCTGCAGGACCCGCCCTCGGCATGGAGCTGCTCTCCCTGCTGCCGGGGTTTCTGCTTGTGCTCTCAGCTAACAGCAAACTGATCTACATCTCTGAGAATGTGGGTCAGGTCCTGGGCCTCTCCATGGTAAGGGCTGCCCGCTGGGCAGTCACTGTCCCCATACCAGTCCTGCTGCCTTTATTGTGTGCAGGGCACACTGCCCTGGCAGCTGCTGGCCTGTGGCTCCAGTGGGCCGCGCGCTTGCGGTGCCAGCGCACAGCCCACCGGGGCAGGCACAGTCTGCAATGGCAGCCCCTTCTTTTATCAGGTGGAGCTGCTTGCCCAGGGGGACACAGTCTTCGACATCCTAGATGGACAAGCACACGAGGATGTGCGCAAGAAGCTCCTTCTCGCCCAGGAGGAGCCCGGCAGGGGTAAGGGTGGCCTCGGCTGGCATCTCACAGATGCTGCCGCCCTGCTCTGGCCCTTTGTGGCTGCAGTCAGAGCGCCAGGGCCAGCCAGCCCTGCTGGGAGAGGAGCGAGGGAGTCCCTGACCTGCTCTGGCCGGTTCGTTTCCCTGCAGAAGTCACGTTTGTCAGTGAGATGCGCACATCCAAGGCCTTCCGGCTGCAGCACGGGGGGAACCGGGCCGTGGCAGTGCGTGGGCGCTTTGCAGCCCTGCACTGGCCGGCCTCCCCCTCCACCGCGGCCTTCCTGGCCCTCTGCACACCGGTTGCGCAGTTGCCTGCAGATGGCGACACCGGTTCCCAGGACAACATATTCCACAGCACGCATGTCCTAGACATGACATTTACTGATGTCACTGAGAGGTGAGGGGTGCCTGCTGGCACCACAGCCCAAGCTGTACATCTTGGACAGCAAGGATGATTTCCCTTCACCAAGCCTGTGTGTGGGACACAGGCTGGACCCTGCAAGAGCAGTGAGACTCCTGCAGGCGCTTCCCAAGCCTCTTCCCTCCCTCATTTGCAACTCATTTCTGTATCCCTGCTGTTTTGTTCTCCATCATGCAACAGCTGCTCCTTGCTGACGTGGCACAGACCCTGTAAAGCATTCAGTCCCTGCTCCTCTTGTCTTCCCCAGTGTCACCTACCACCTTGGCTACTGCAGGGAGGAACTTGTTGGTCAGTCATGGTACAGCCTCCTGCACCCTGAGGATGCTGACCTAGCGGCTGCCCAGCACAGGGCCGTGGGTGAGTGTCAGGCGTGGGAACGTGTGTTTTGCTCTGACTTCATAGTCTGGCTATGCCTAAAACCTGGCTGTCCAGGACAACAGAAACCAGGTGAATTTAGTCCTGCCCGCTGTGGTTCCCTGCTCTAAAAAGGATGAAGCAGACAATTGGTTACATACCCCATAAGCTATCCATAAAGCCAGAGGTAGCTTCCAAGCTTGGGACCACGGGCACCCTGCAGTGCAGAGAGGAGGGTCAAGCCTGCTTCAGTCCCAGCTTTTTGAGAGGGCAGGACTGCTACAGACCCGACTCCACTACCTGTGGCTTCTGGCCCGCTGGGGCCAGAGCAGCAGGCTGACCACAGCCCCT